TCGTGATGGTCAAGCGGATTAAGGCGTCCCTGTACATACCAGTTGTGGGAGTATGGGTTCGAGTCACTTCTGGGGTGTGAGTTTTCAGTTGTATATAGTCCTGGGGACCATTCAGGCTTGTTTGCATTTGTGTTCCTCACGTGTGCCCCAAAGAATGAGGTGATTTGATAAAATGCTATGCCCAAGATTACCATCCGAGTGCCGGCGGGGAAGTGGTTCATATAGCCTCGGCTATCACTTCCTTTTGTCCGGTCGTGATGGTCAAGCGGATTAAGGCGTCCCTGTACATACCAGTTGTGGGAGTATGGGTTCGAGTCACTTCTGGGGTGTGTGCCCCAAAGAATTTTCAGTTGTATATAGTCCTGGGGACCATACCAGTTGTGGGAGTATGGGTTCAGGCTTGTTTGCATTCAGGCTTATATATTGCATATATATATATATATATATATATATATATATATATATATATATATATATATATATATATATATATATATATATATATATGTCGTACCTAGTAGCCAGAACGCACTTCTCAGCCTACTATGCAAGGCCCAATTTGCCTAATAAGTCAAGTTTTTATGAATTAATATATTTTCTCTAATTTTTTTCTTATGAAATGATAAAGCTACCCATTTCATTATGTATGAGGTCAATTTTCTTTTATTGGAGTTAAAATTAACGTAGATATATGATCAAACCTAACCAACCCTACCTAACCTAACCTAACCTATCTTTATAGATTAGGTTAGGTTAGGTAGCGGAAAAAGTTAGGTTAGGTTAGGTTAGGTAGGTTAGGTAGTCGAAAAACATTAATTCATGAAAACTTTGCTTATTAGGCAAATTGGGCCTTGCATAGTAGGCTGAGAAGTGAGTTCTGGCTACTAGGTACGACATATATATATATATATATATATATATATATATATATATATATATATATGTCGTACCTAGTAGCCAGAACGCACTTCTCAGCCTACTATGCAAGGCCCAATTTGCCTAATAAGTCAAGTTTTTATGAATTAATATATTTTCTCTAATTTTTTTCTTATGAAATGATAAAACTACCCATTTCATTATGTATGAGGTCAATTTTTTTTATTGGTGTTAAAATTAACGTAGGTATATGACCGAACCTAACCAACCCTACCTAACCTAACCTATCTTTATAGGTTAGGTTAGGTTAGGTAGCCGAAAAAGCTAGGTTAGGTTAGGTTAGGTAGGTTAGGTAGTCGAAAAACAATTAATTCATGAAAACTTGGCTTATTAGGCAAATCGGGCCTTGCATAGTAGGCTGAGAAGTACGTTCTGGCTACTAGGTACGACATATATATATATATGTGTATATCACGAAAATAAACACGTGATTAAGAATCTGACAATGTCAGACCACTTAGGAAAATGAAACAGGAATTTCCTTAAGTACTTTCGTATATTAAATACATCTTCAGAAGGAAATACATCTTCCTTCTGAAGATGTATTTAATATACGAAAGTACTTAAGGAAATTCCTGTTTCATTTTCCTCCGTGGTCTGACATTGTCATATATATATATATATATATATATATATATATATATATATATATATATATATATATATATATATATATATATATATATATATATATATATATGTCGTACCTAGTAGCCAGAACGCACTTCTCATCCTACTATGCAAGGCCCAATTTGCCTAATAAGTCAAGTTTTTATGAATTAATATATTTTCTCTAATTTTTTTCTGATGAAATGATAAAACTACCCATTTCATTATGTATGAGGTCAATTTTTTTTATTGGTGTTAAAATTAACGTAGGTATATGACCGAACCTAACCAACCCTACCTAACCTAACCTAACCTATCTTTATAGGTTAGGTTAGGTTAGGTAGGCGAAAAAGATAGGTTAGGTTAGGTTAGGTAGGTTAGGTAGTCGAAAAAACATTAATTCATGAAAACTTGGCTTATTAGGCAAATCGGGCCTTGCATAGTAGGCTGAGAAGTGAGTTCTGGCTACTAGGTACGACATATATATATATATATATATATATATATATATATATATATATATATATATATATATATATATATATATATATATATATATATATATATATATATATATATGAAAACTCATATACTAGAAGCATATATATATATATATATATATATAGCCGAGGCTATTTGATATGGGCAATGTTCATTTGTTCAAAATCGCTAATCTCCGAATTCAGTTGTTCACCTTTGAAATTTTCACACAATGTTCCATTCGCATCTGGCCAGGTTTTTATATACTTACTATATAAATGTCACGTCTGTGATGGTAAAAAAAACATGCTTTTCTGAAAATCTGTGTTTTTCATGTGAGGGAAATCTTCGAAACCTCTTTATCGATTTCTATAAAATGTTGACACAACGTTGCATTCGAATAGGTGCTTCTTTTTATATATCTACTATATACATGCCTCACCTGTGACCGGAGAAAACATGTTTGTTTTTTTTTTAACAGCGCCATCTATTGGACGTAAGAGCAACAATCGTAGTAATCTCAAAGTTCTTCACCAATTGCTTTGAAATTTTGACACAACATTGCATTCGAATAGACGCATCTTTTTACATACCTACTATATAATTGCCACCCCTGTGACAGGTAAAAACATGAGTTTTTGAAAAATAGTGCCATCTGTTGCACATAATAGCAACATTCACGTTATACTAAATATGTCACGAATTCCATTTCAATGTTTCTGATTTCATTGATAAATTTTATTTCCATAGATTTCGATTTATTTTATTTTTTATTGAATTATTTTGTGACATTGCGTTGGAATTTAGCTGTGTTGTTTACCATATCATTCATTTCGTAAGTATAAGTATAGATGCCACACCTGTGACAGGTAAAACTATACTTTTCTTGTAAAACAGCGCCATGTGTTACATGTAAGAGCAACACACATGCTATACTAAATATGTTACAATTCCATTTCAATGTTTCTGATTGCATTGATAAATTGAATTTTCATAGATTTTGATTTATTTTCATTTTGTTTTAATTATTTTGTGTGAATTGTGTTGGAATTGAGCTGTGTTGTTTACCATATTTTTCATTTCGTGAGTATAGTTTATTTTTTTTTTCATATTTTCATTTCATTTTTAACTGTTTTTCTTATATTTCAGTGATGGGAACATCTGATCACTTGATGTTCCCAATTTTCTGATGGGAACATCAGACCATTTTGGAAGGCATCGGACGAGGGAGTGGGGAATGGTGGGGAGGACGAGGGGACGGAAGTGAGAGATGGTGGGGAGGACGAGGGACAAGGGAGGGGGGTAATGGTGGGGAAGGACGAGGGGACGGGGGAGTTTGGGATGGTGGGGACGAGGGGATGGGGGAATGGAGAATGGTGGGGAGGACAAAGGGAATGGGGCGAAGGAAGAGGGGATGGTGGAGTGGGAAATTGTGGGGAGGACGAGGGGACAGTGGAGTGGGGAATGGTTGGAAAGCCGAGGAGACGGGTGAGGGGAGAATGGTAGGGAGGACTGGGAAACAGGGGAAGGTTGCTGTGGCTCAGCAACGCACACGCGTTGCTGAGCCACAGCAACGCGTGGCCGGGTTGAAAAGAAAAAACAGCCCCATCTGTTGAACATAATAGCAACACACACACGCTATACTAAATATGTTATGATTTCCACTTCAATGTTTCCAATTGTATTAATTAATTGAATTTTCATAAATTTCGATTTATTTTAATTTTGATATAATTATTTTGTTTGACATTGTGTTGGAATTGAGCTGTATTGTTTACCACACTGTTCATTTCGTAAGTATAAGTAAAGATGCCACACTTGTAAAAGGTAAAAACATTCTTATTTTTTTTAAGAAACAGCGCCATCAGTTGCACATAAGAGCCATACACACTATAATAAATATGTTACGATTCCATTTCAATCTTTCCAATTGCACTGACAAATTAAATTTTCATATATTTTGATTTATTTTCATTTTAATTTAATTATTTTGTGTGATATTGCGTTGGAATTTGGCTGTGTTGTTTACCATACCGTTCATTTCGTGAGTATAAGTATAGATGCCACACCTGTTACAGTAAAATCATGCATTTTTGAAAAACAGCGCCATCTGTTGCATGTAAGAGCAACACACATGCTATACTAGATATGTTACAATTCCATTTCAATGTTTCCAACTTCATTGATAAACTGAATTTTCATAGATTTCGATTTATTTTCATTTTGATTTAATATTTTGTGACACTGCGTTGGAATTAAGCTTTGTTGTTTGCCATATCGTTCACTTCGTGAGAATAGTTAATTTTTTATTTCTTCATTTTTTCATTTCGTGTTTAAATTGTTTTCCTTATATTTCATTGATAGGAACATCAGATCATTTGATGTTTCCAATTTTCTGATGGGAACATCAGAACATTTGGGAATGCATCGGACAAAGGAGTGGGTAAGAGTGGGGAGGACAAGGGGACGGGGAAATTGGAGATGGTGGGGACGAGGGGACAGGGGAATGGAGAATGATGGGAAGGACAAGGAAAAAGGAGAGAGGGGGATGGTGCAGAGGACGAGGGAACAGGGAACAGGGGAATGATAGGGAGGCCGGGGGGACGAGGGAGTGGGAGATGAAGGAGAGTACGAGGGGACGGTGGAGTGGGGAATGGTGAGGAGGACACAGAGATGGGGGGAGGGAGGAAATGGTGGGGAGGACTGGGAGACCAGGGGAAGGTTGCTGTGGCTCAGCAACGCACATGCGTTGCTGAGCCACCGCAACGTGTGGCCGGGTACAGCTAGTAATAATAATAATAATATATTTTATTTTATTCGTAAAATATATATATATACATAAGAACATCATACAGAGAAATACTTGAATGTACAGGAGTTGAACATTAAATAAAACACTTTCTTTCACTTTAAACAGGCCGTGCTTGTGAAGGCGGCTACAATACCGTGATTTACCAGGTGCGTTCTCTTTGCAGACGAAGAGCGTGATTCAACATAACATTAATACTAAGTTCGGTGCCAATGGGGTTGCTGTCTTCAACCTAATTAAAGACCTGATTTCGCTGAACTTGTGGATGAGCTTAGTGCTGTGCATGGGCCTGGTGATGCCGCTAGTGATGCAGCTAGTGGTGCTAGACGACCCTTTGCCCTCGACGCCGGCTGCCTGGGCCTCCATAAACACCACATCTACCCATCAATGCTCACCCATAACTATTACCTACGATAACCCTAAGGTATTGTTCTCTCACCTGTAAGTTAACACTTCCTATCAAAATATTGGATTACTATAAACTCAAGTTGATAAATAATTGTTCAACTTTGCGAGAAGCTCGAACACACGCCAGTAAAAATCTGATTTTTGTTTATGCTATCTCAGGTGGTGAACTGCAGCTCAGAATATATGACGGAGGCGGGTGACAGTGGTTCTCAGGGCTGGGAGAAGGTGTGGTGGGTGTCGGAGCTGCTGCTGGGTGAAGGCAGCCTGGAACACTCGCCTGTGTTCCTGGGCTATTACCCAGTGGTGCTGCTGGATGATGTGTACCCTGTGGCGGTGATGCACCTACTGGCCGTCCTCACTGTCTTCCTGATGTCGCTGGTGGCTGTGTTGACGCGAGTCGGTCAGTGGCTCCGTTACAATTCTGCCTTCTTGGGAAGTCATACCTTCTCTAAGATGGTCTTCACTAGCTGGGACTTTTCCCTAAGACGGTTGTGTGGTGTTCAATCCATGCAGCATATTTTGAAAAATGAAATTCGTGCTGCGTTTGATGAAGATCAGTTCCAGCGGTCAAAGTACAGTCGATCTCGTACTCAAGTAGCATTTCTCTACATTAAGCGTCTCTTTGTTAACTGTGTTATATTTGTGGCAATGTCTGTTGGTTACATGGTCATCATCGTCATCACTAATTATCGACCATTCCTAGAAGATAGGATTGATAACAAATATCCAGAAGGAACCTGGAGAAACGTAACCCTTAATTCTATCATTAACTACCTGGACACAGTGACGGTGTGGGTGGTGGGTCTGGTGCTGCCGCCGCTGCTCTCGCTGCTTGGCACCATGGAGGAGTACAGCAGCCGTGTCTCTATGCTTCTTTTTATTTTTCGTAATGCTGCTGTCCGTCTCAGCTCTCTGGGAGTACTGGTGATATCTCACCTCATTGTGGCCTCCTCCGACAGCACGGAAGACTGTAGACCAGCCATGCCATGCTGGGAGACTGCTCTTGCACAGAAACTCTACGCTCAGATCATGTGGGACTTTGTGATACGAGTGACATGGACTGTCCTACTGCTCACCAACAGGCTCCTAACGATGCTGTTCTGTCTGAAGATCTCTGTCTCCTTGCCAGAATTCGACGCGCCAAGCAGAGTGCTGGATGTTCTTACCCTCCAGACCATCTGCTGGCTGAGCATCGCTGTGTCGCCGCTCCTGCCGCTCATGGTTTTGGTGTCCCTTTTCCTCTTGCTGCTGCTTGATGTGGTTGGAGCACTGCTTGTCACAAAGTCGCCCAGTCACATGTTCCAAGCCTCGCACTCCTCGGCCATGTTCATGGTGGTGTTGGCTGTGTCTTGGGTCGGAGCCGCCACCGTCACCGTCGCTGTTTTCTTCTTCGTCCCGCCGTCCCTGGCCTGTGGACCCTTCAGAGGCCTGACGGTCGCTTGGGACGCCATCACTAACTACATCTGTAACCTGGACGGCTACTTCACCTGGCTCAGGTAGCTCACCAACTTGGTATCTCAGGTTTCGTATATATAATTATTACTGAATTATCTTGCAATGATTCCCTTTGATATACATGAATACAGATACATAATTTTCCTTGCCACCTTGGTGTTTGAGAAGGGTTCGTGGAAATGTTTGAGGCACAAAATGCAATTAGAAATTGAACCTCAGTATTCGATTAGCTATCTTCTTGAGGTTATCTTGAGGTGATTTCGGGGCTTAGCGTCCCTGCGGTCCGGTCCTCGACCAGGCCTCCTTTTTTTGTTACACATTCCCAAGAAGCAGCCTGCACCAGCTGTCTAACTCCCAGGAACCTATTTACTGCTAGGTGAACAGGCGCACTAGGATGAAAGAAACTCGGCCCATTTGTTTCCGCCGGGGATCGAACCCGGGATCTTATGATTATGAATCTCGAGCGCTGTCCACTCAGTCGTCAGGCCCCCTAAGCTAAACGTCTTTCCTGAATAAACAAGGTTCAGAGGTTAACGTTTACTGGTGAGAACCAGCTTCTGATTATAAGTGGTTAAACAGCAAAGTTCGTGAGTAATTTAGATTAAACTTTACCTGAATTTTATGAGAAGATATAACACCCGACCAAAGTAGAAATAATTACGAGAGCTGCGTAAAGTGTGAGTAGTAGGTGGCCCTCTTGCAGCTCCTACGGCCACTAACAGACCAGTAGTTATGTGTTAGGATTAAGTTTTCATATATTAGTAAAACTGCGGTGTTTTCAGGAACCAGAGATTGACATGGGATTGTTCTTTAAGTGTGAGACATTAGTGGTCAGCTACAAAGTCTTCCTGACTTGGTACCTTCTTTTGATAATTACTTACATCAGTGGTTAATTATAAACTAGGGATAGCCATGTTTAACACTAGGGATAGGTAGTTAATGTTGCATTAGGGATAAGTGCCCCTCATCAAAGGTGGTTCCTTAACATGGTAAGAGGTTAGGGCTATTCATGCCTGCACCACCTCTTGGGTGGCTTAATCTTCATCAATCGTGGTGAGAGGTGTGTTTTGCGTGGGTAGGGGACGGGGGTGGCTCCTGCTTCCCTTTCCTACCTACTGTGGAGGTGCTTTTAGCTTTGATGTCCAAAGAGCTTGGAGAGGATGTGGGAGGAAGAAGGATGGGGCGGTGAAATTCTTGGAAGAGGATCTGGATGTGGAGGCTTGAAGGTTCGGTGGCCTGTCCACCGCGGATAGGAGATATTTTTCGGTCTAAGCCTGTAGCTTGAGTTCTTCTTAGGCGGCAGGATGCTAGTGGTGAGGCAGTTTGATGTCCTGGTTCAGGTGAGGTGTTCTGTATGGATTGCAGGAGGCGTCTTCCGTATGATGTTGATGAACCTGTTTGTTCTTTTAACTTAGGTTTGATTTTGGCTATGGTGGTACGATGTTGTAGTGTCGCCTGAAATATCCAAGAAAAAGCTTTGGTATCGGAGTTCCTTCTGGATCTTCGGCTGCTGTAGAGAAGTCGAGTTGTTCCATCTTTTCTGCCCTGAAGACTGGGTCCTTACCTTGAGGTTACCTTGAGGTGCTTCCGGAGCTTAGCGTCCCCGCGGCCCGGTCGTCGACCAGGCTTCCTGGTTGCCTGGGTCGATGTGATTTATGTTCAGGATGGAGAGGTCTTTATATCGCTCCACTGTGGAATAGTGGACGGTTGTATTCTATGGCCAGGGTTTTCCTCGTACCGCTGTTGCCCTTGAACGTACCATATGCCTCCTGAGGGATGTAGAGGCAGTAGCAAGGTTTGCTTCTGTCTGGTTTGCCTGGTATGGCTGCGGGTACTGGGTGCATGTAGGTGTCTTCCAGCTCTTCAAGCTCTTCGTACTCTTCAATTTCAGTGTCTGATGCAGATGCCTGTTGTGGTGCTGCTTTAACCGGGGCCTGTGTTATTGGAGTGGGTGCCTGAGGTGCTGTTTCAGTTGATGTTCCAGATGCTGCTGGTGTTGGGGTTTGTTCTGTTTCCGTGGTAGATGTCGCTGCTGTTTGGCGTTGCTGAAGTGTTGTCCATGAATGAGGGCTGCCTCTCATCCTTTGTTTTTTAGATGGAGGAGCCTGGGGTGACGTCTATTGGCCTGTCAGTTTCGTCAGTTTCTTGTTGGTGCAGAGGGAAGCGGTAGCAGATGATCGAGGTACAGTTCTTGTAGTGGGTTCTGAAGCTGTTGGAGGCTGTAGTAGGTCCTTTGGGATTGACATCGTAGGTAGTGTTTTGGCCGAGCAGCCTGTTCAGTACTCTCACGTATTTGGCGATCTCTGTTCCTGCCGCCTTCTCAGCTACACTGATCAGAGATGGGATGAGAGTAGTGGTGGCGGCCGAGACCGCTGATTGGTTGCCTGGAGAGTTGGCTGGCTGGCTCACCTGTGTCCTGGGTCGAATTGAATGATATAGGAGAAGATGCCTTGAAGTGGGGACAGCTGAAGAGAAGTCGGTGAGAGGAAAACGCTGAAGTTGACAAGAAAAGTGCCAGGGCTTGACCGAGCCATGGCACGAGTCTTAAATCTTTGCTGAAAACAACCCAACATCTGGCTAGGCTGGGAGACGGGTCAGAAAGGCGGCAGTGGCAGTGCTTCTTCATTCAAGGTAGAGATAGTCTGTCTTCAGGTGGTGTCTTCTTTTTTCTATCTTCTTACTTCTACTTCTTGCTTCTATCTATGTCGTGCTTCTTTTTTCTTCTTTCTTCTTTCTTCTTCTATTTCTTCGTGCTTGGTGTAGTCATTTGATGTTTCTTGTACTCAGGATTAGTCATCAGGGAAGAGTTCAGGAGCCAGTAAGGATTCGTCGCATTCCGTGAAGATTACGACTGTCAAGAAAGCAGTCCGCATTAGCTTCTGGATGATTCTGCAAATATTCATTATACTTCGTGTTATATATAAGGCTGGAGAGCCGTCTGAACGCAGGGGATCCGACTGGAGGGGTGCTACGTTGCAGGCTCAGTGCAATTACTGCTGGAGAATCAGGCTCATCTTCATATTCATACGAGGCCGGGGCTGGTGAATGACCTATAACGTCAACAGAGGCAGTAGAGTCATCATCGGAAGTCAGGTGGAAGTCTGCAGTAGCATGAGATGTAAGTTCCTGTGAAGCTGGTGTAGTCTTAGGTACAGCTGAAGGATGGCTTGTTAATTGACCAGAGAGGGGTTGTGGCTACTATGGCTGCGTCGATGATTTGTTGGCGGACTGGGAGCGAGGGCCCCAATGGAATGCAGGCTGTGCAGAAGCTCTGCTCCCACCCGTGAGCAGAGGAAAGTTGGCGGCTTGTACGTTGAAAGTTGATGGTTCACGACGATTGGTGTTGGCTTGCCTATCGTCGGACATCTTCTGTATTTCCTCACGTCTTCGAGGGCACTCGGCAAAGACGGCAGTATAGTCACCTTGGCAGAGAAGGCATTGGAGGAAGTCGTTGGTGCATCGTTTGAAATGGTGATTCTCGGCGCAATTGCTGCACCGTTGGTCATTGGTCACCAGATGGACATTGTTTCGTAAAGTGTTCATAGCTATAGCACTTAAAGCATTGTCGAAGCTGGTACTAGTGTTCTTTGTTGATTTGTCGGGGTATGCAAGCGAGGCCGAAGCACCGGAAGCCGTTGGTGGTAGCAGAGATAACTTCCTCAGGCGAGGTGAAGGTGACCATCATGGTGGAGAGGTGACTGTCTTGCACTGGAATGAACTTTACAGAGACAACAGTCAAGGAAGGATTCTGTTCACTTATACTGGTGGCGACGTCGGTGGTAGCTTTTTCAGAGATTAGGGAGCTCACTCTCCGGACAAACACCGTCCTGGCTGCGAGGTAGTGTCGTGGTGGGGTGAGGATTATGTGCGCCTTCTCGAGAGCAGTAAGGTTGATGGGGTCAAGTAGACGTTGTACGGCTCCGGCACTGCTGATCAGCAGTTGATGAGATCCTTCGCCATCGACGACGACGTCCAGTGTTGCAACGTCGGTTGTTGTGGTGATCAAATCCGAGATCTCTGACCGGGTAAGGGTCCGGTTTCCTCTAAATCGTACCTTGACCCGGTAGATGATATTGTTGTTGCTCAATGTTTACCCACCTGTCAGTGCTAGGTGCAAGAGAGCCTTGTCTGGTTGATACCTGGTTGATACCTGGTTGATGGGGTTCTGGGAGTTCTTCTACTCCCCAAGCCCGGCCCGAGGCCAGGCTCGACTTGTGAGAGTTTGGTCCACCAGGCTGTTGCTTGGAGCGGCCCGCAGGCCCACATACCCACCACAGCCCGGTTGGTCCGGCACTCCTTGGAGGAATAAATCTAGTTTCCTCTTGAAAATGTCCACGGTTGTTCCGGCAATATTTCTTATGCTTGCTGGGAGGATGTTGAACAACCGCGGACCTCTGATGTTTATACAGTGTTCTCTGATTGTGCCTATGGCACCTCTGCTCTTCACTGGTTCTATGTCTAGAGGGTTGCACTTTCCTTAAGAGGTCTCTCGTCTCTTACCGGTATAATGCACCGGATCAGGGTGGGGTCTCACCTCCTAAAGCATAGTACTGTGTGTGTCCTGGGTCCCCATTGGGGGAGGGGGTCTGGTGCGGACGTCTGTGTAGCAGACGCCGAAGCGTTGGGAAGCACTGGGAACGCAACCCGTTCTCGAAAATTCGTAAAGTCAATATTGACTTATTAACTACGTGCATAGGTGATATACTAAACACAATAGATACCCTTAAAAAGATTCATAGAAAACACCGACCTTACCTAACCTTGTTAGTATCTTAAGATAAGCATCTTATTGCTTCGTAATTACAATTGTTACTTAACGTATACCTATTATAGGTTAGGTAATAATTGTAATTAGGAAGCAATAAGATGCTTATCTTAAGATACTAACAAGGTTAGGTAAGGTCGGTGTTTTCTATGAATCTTTTTAAGGGTATCTATTATGTTAAGTATGTCACCTATGCACATATTTAATAAGTCAATATTGACTTATCAAATTTGCGAGAACGGGTTGAGGAACGACGTAGCCTGGATATTGAAGCTCGCCA